AAACTGATTCTATTTAAATAGGGAATAAATGTGATATTTTTAAGGAGACATTTTAGTTTAAATCCATTCAGGGAAATGGAAATTCGCTTAGTCTGCAGGTTTGCTGCGGCGGGGCAATTTCTATGTACTGTACATTTAAGTGCAATAAAAATATCAAACAAGGTTAGAGAAACATAATTTTACTAGTGGCTTGTAGGGACATAAGTCCCTAAAAAGCTGAAATGTAAAACAACATATTACAATTCCGGTATTTAAACAAACTCAGAATAACATTATCTATGTGTCAGAATAGGCATCCCTACACCATATCTTTTGTGTAAAAACCAGTATGTTGTTCTTCTTTGTTTGCTTTTGTTGATGCCATTTTCAATAAATAATTTAAATCACTCCAGTGGTTTAACATGAAAAGGCAGCAAACATATCATTGTTTGTGAATAAATACTGGTTTACTAAGGTAGCTTTGATCTTGTGGTTAATGAGGATAAATAAAAGCTTCCCTGTTTGGAATTTTAAAAATTAATTGGAGGTTCGCCTTCAGATGAATTGAAGACGCCTGCAATTTCATCTGCAGTAGGCTTATTATACCTACGACGATCCATATTTATCCTGTCTACAAACCTAAGTTCTAATTCACTGTCACCTTGTACAACCATTTCTTCCGAAGCTCTTTTGTAAATTTGTGCAAATGGATTTTCTAATAGAATTTCAGCTAGTTTTGACAATATTTCAGGTTTTAAGTCACTATTTTCTCGACGCCTTTGACGAATTTCTGTTGCTGTTGATGTGTCAATAATGTACAATTGGCCATACACGGGGTCTTCATCATGTTGAGGCAGCAAATCTGAGATTGAACGATAAACCTGTCCTTGAATTTTGAAACAGTATGGTCCTTTTCCTGGAATATCTTTCTTACTGGCTGAAAAATAAGCAAAAGCCATCGCACTGTTGTATTGTCGAATGAATTTATACAGTTGTGGGCTCTCTTCAAACAAATTTTTAAGTTGTACATTAGTTTTTGGCTGAGGAAGGTTAATAAGTCCGTTATGGCAACATGTCATAAAATGATTATTCGTTAGTTCTTCTCTAAAATGAAGAGCACTACATTGAATGCACTCTTGGTCCAGTAATCCTGCATCATGGATATTTACATTTCTCTCGTCTACCATGGATCTCCTAAAAAGGGGTTGTAACATATCTTGATTAAGTTCGTCATTATCTACTCTTGTTCTTCTACGCGCACTGTCATTCCTATGAACAGCTCCCCGCCTTTGTGGTCTTCCCCTGGCGTTCATATTAATTACAGTACTTATAATGAAAAGAATATATATCCATCAGCAAAACATACCAAAACATCTTGAATCCCTGGTGATTTTATAAAAGTATGATCGAATATGATTACTATACGTTGTATATTCACTGCACTAAAAAAATATTTACTTACGAAGGAATGCAAATACACCATTTTAGAACCAATAACATTTGTAGGTTATTTTAGTTGTATATATTAACTCAACCTTAACCTTAAAATGTGTAGAAATATAAAGAACACGACATCATTTAAAATAAACTTGAACATATGATTTAAAAATAAAAACTAAACAGAAGTTAGATTTAATTTCGACTCTTTCATTATTTATACAGAATATTTATTCTATGTCGTTTATTCCTTTAACACGACAATAACGTAAAAGCATGAAAAATTAAACTTGAGTATATGATTTAAATATAAACAAAGAATGCAGACGTTTTTCCGATTAATCTTCAAGATTTCAGTTTTATTATAGTATACATTTCATAGATGACTGGCTAAAAGTAAACCAAATGCGTGTATTGATCACTGTTTTCAAGATATAGCACGATCAGCTGTATTGAAGTAAACAGAAATCAGCAGTAAATGACTTCTGTTTTAATTTCAAAAGATGTAAACAAATTAAACCCCATGTTGTTTTAATGGGAAAAGTTTTATTCTGTTGCGAATTTATGGTAAAAAAATAAGAAAAATGAATAGTTTTCCCTCAAAATTCACGCCAAGACCTTTAAAATAAGACCCCTCCCATCCTTCTACGGCCATCCAGTCACTCACAATTTCTTTACAAAAATTTGACTTACGGAATTATATATATATAGATTATTAATTAATGGTAGTTGCAACCAAATGTGAAGTGATATAATCTTATAGTAGAAAAGCTAATTAACTCAAAGATTTAGCGGAATTCCTTAAGAGAAAAAGTGATTGCCGTAGTCGTCGGCATGGTAAAATCTAGACTTGGGACCAATTGTCTTAATTGCTATGTTCTATACGTTTTCAACACTTCTTACCTCTGTTCCTTTAACAACCTTCTCCCCTATAGTCGGATTAGTATTTGAACTGCTCCTACCCCCCATTGTAATGATTATAAAATACTTCAATAAATCACATGGATAAAAACTAGCTATGTAGGGAACAAAACAACAACTAATACCTCAATACACTGTACATTGCAAGTACATGACTCAATCTTATCTTGTACCGACTCTTGTCTAATCAATAGAATGACATCACAATTGACTTTTTGGGTCCAAACACTGAACTTATTTGCTTCTCAGTACAGTGGAGCCTCGATAGTTGAACACTTGGACTAAGGGGGTGTCGAACTATACGGAGTATATTGGATATTTAAACAGAGGGAGTGTTACAACTTACATCTCTACTGTGCATTCTTTGGCTTCTTAATGTATAAAATATTTTGTAAATCAACTGCTTTTCCCTTTGAATGTTTAAAATTTTTTTTAATTAATGGGGTGGTTAAAATTGAGTATAAGTAGCCTATTGAGTTTACTAACTATTAGTAACGAAAACAATAAGAAAGCTTTAGTTATCCTACTGACCTCCGTAAACCCATCATCAGCCGCAGTCAACATGTCACGTCATCGCAGTCCGAACTACCTAACAGTTGAACTATCGAGTGTTGAACTATCAAGGTTCTACTGTAACAGTTTTTGTTGCCTTTGTGCTCAAGGTGATGTGGTATATAAATTCAAATACCGTGGACTAAATTAATTTTGTATATGATAAGCATAAACCTATGATTCTCACCTCCCTCTTCATTTCTACCAATACTAGTACAAAATCTACCAAACCTTTTTTAAATCTTGTTCCATATCCATAGACTGTATAAATAAACTAGAGCCTTTCTATTCTTGCCTTATGGTTGTTTGATGAAAAAATTTGCTTCCAAAATTTGGTTATGTGATTAGGATTAAATTAGAAATTAATAAGATTGTTAAATGATTCTGACAAATAATGAGACACTTACATTGCTTGAAAGTGGTAATTTACTCAAACGTTATAAAAAACGTAGGGGCTGAACCACAGGTCTGACGAAAGTGAATATTCAAAAATATATGTTACTATAGCCACCATACCCGTGCTTCGCAACGGGAAGAGAACGCTGAAGAGAATAATTATTATTCCATAGATCTGCTGTATGTAGATAAACTTTTAGTAATTAATCCACTACAAGTATTAGGTAACTTAAAATATTAACTGGCTACTTTCGTTTCCCAGACATAATTTTTTGGGAAAGAAACCATACAAGTTCAATAGGTTTTTATAAAAATTTTTATAAAGTCCATAAGTTAATGAATTATACACTTTAAAAAACCTCCTTATTCACACACAACTATCAAAAATCTATATAATTAATCCGCTACATGAAACTTTGTCGGTTGAACTCCTCCGCCAACCGATTTTATCCATTAACGTCTCATTGGAAAGAGCGTGTCGCGTAGATTTGCAAACTGGCCTTACATTTTTGAAAAAGTCCCTTGGGCTCTGCCCCAGTGGCTTTGAAAGTGCCCATGTTATCCTTATGAAGAACATAATTGTTTACATTTTGATCAGCTGTATAATTTAATTGCTGTTATTTATTTTTCGATTCAAAGTCTTTTAAACTCATCGGAAATTATGATGACTTTTATTTGTTTTTAAATAACTACACTTTTTTTTCAACGCCAGTGGCATTTCACGAGAGAAATGTTTAGTACTTCTTACTTTACAGTACTTCTTTGCAATTGCTCGATTTCGAGCAACGTGTTTACTAGTTATTTATTAAATTAAAAACATAAACATAACTATTAACAATCCTACTTTGACAGTTCTAATTTTATATCACAACTGCTTGGTTGAAATTAGCAATCTGTTGTCATAAATTTAGACAATTAAAAGTGCTGCACCCTGTTGGTACATTTTGTAACCTTTTAATGCTATTGATCATCACAGAATCAAATTGTTTAGTTGAAACAGCTGTTAAGATGCTTTAATTCCATTTAAATATGAGTTCTCATAAGGTTATGGGAAACTCCAGAGCCACTGGGGCGGAGCCCTTTTGACGGATCTGCACCAAACTTCAGACAAACCATCCTTGAATAATGCTTAATAATGCCAGCAGAAAGTTTCACAATCTGTCAAAGCGGTTTCGGAGTCCATAACGTTCAAATATATATACAAACTTCATCTTTTATAAATATAGATACCTAATAGATTTTGTTTAAGATTATTGTAATTTCAACCTGAATTTCAAAATTGCAATAAACTTGTCGTTTTGAAATAAAATTACAAATAGGCCTACTTGGGACACGATTATATTTAAAAATATGTAATTTTCTTACAGTAATCAACGATCTAATAGTTGCAATATTTTTCCAAGTTAAAATGTTGTTTTCTTTAACCGGTAACTAAGTTTTGAAGGCCAACCTTTATTTTTGTAAATCATACGTTTTGTGGCTGAATCGGCCGGCCCACACTAATCAATCCTTAAAGCGATAGTGGCGGCGTATACAATAGCTTAGAGAAGAACAGAGCTAATCGCCAGAGTTCCCTTGCGACCAAACAGCCTTCAAATAAAATATGCACCCAAGTTTGTGAGTGTCATATAAATCCAACCTAAATATTAGTGTTCTGAATAATACACTGACTGACTTAAGCTATATGATACATAAGTACATAGGGTAACCCTTACCTCATCACTGCGTACAATGGTTGCGACTGTGTTGACAATCTCCTTGAACTCATTGCGAGCTTGCACTGAAACAGAAATACAGGTGTTAAACAGCCACTTAGTTGGCAAGTAGCAAACAAACACAGTAGCTACAACAGACAAGAGCTAACACAATCAGCAACATGATGTTATTTAATACACATGAAAGGTAATGTAATTTATCTTTAGATCTAACGCATCTAAATAAATTTGTTTGTTTAATACTGGGACCAAAAAATAATCTTACAGTTTAGGTTAGTTAAATCTACCCTATGTATAGCACAGTGAAAAACTAAGTGAGATCAACACAAAAATTCAATTAAATCTTGCTATAACACAACAAAATTTGTGTTTTATCCATGAATTAAAAAAAAATCCTGTTCCATCCTGATATATCTTTTTCACATTTCATGATACAATAGCTCTAAACCCTAATATATCTACCCTAATTATTTTACCTAAGTTTTCGGGTTCGCTTATCAGAAAAGCTGTAAAAATATAAATCAGGCGTCAAAGCGTAAAGTCCCGTTTCATCCCGCATTTCTTTATTCCCACACATACTATGAGTGAAAGTTTTCGGGATAAAAACTCTGCATATGGAAACACTGAGTAACATACTTAAAGAATGAAGGATGAAGAAAAGTTTAAAAGAAGTCTAAGAGTGTAATTTAAAAGAAGTCTAAGAGTGAACTGGATTTTATTTGTAGCCAAGCAAATAACTTTTTATACATTTAACATTTTGTGGTTTCTGAAGAACTTTCAGGGCCCTAGTATTCTTAAACGTTTCAAACTGCACCTTTAATAGTAGGCCAGCTTTAAATTGGAAAATACTTGAGTATTTTACATGGATCTACAGATCGATTCCCTGATGCGCAAGGCCTTCCCTAAGCAGGCTTCGTCAAACTGGTCGCTTATTATTCTATAAATACATCTTTATTTTACCATCTTTTTATTTTGTACAACTGGCATTTTTATTGAAGAATCTTACACGCTTTTAAAGAAAAATGGTCCAAACCTCTTGGGAATTTTGTGGATTTCCTTTCCGCTCACAAGTCCAAGACGCTAACCTCCCCAAGTTGGGATTTTTGTAGCTTCCTGGTTTATCACATTTTTACATTTCTCCAATGTTAAAGGCAAGACGTTGTTTCAAGATGAGATTAGTATTTTTTTCTCACAACGGAAATAATTTGGAGGTGTGTATTGGCTTACGGATCAATATCAACAAGACAAAATATTCACTGCAACAGGAATAATGCTATAGAGGTAAAAGAAAAGGTGTTGGCCAAAAGGCTCATGACTTGGTTGATGCAACAAAGAATAAAAGTAGGCTACGCAACATTAAATTAAATGGAGATGGCCATATAAAGCAGCCTTTAACCAGAAAAATAAATGCATCTGGGAGCGTTTTTTTGTTTGTGGCGACAAATACGCTCAGCATGTTACGTATCTTACGGCACTGGCCACACTAGGCGACAAGTCGCTCCCTCACACACCCAATTCCTACACTGTTTTCAGCTTTAGTCTAGCAATGGTAAAGTATGGCAAATGAAATATAGAGTAAAAACTGCCTACCAACATTTTCATCGATGAAATAAGCATGCGGAAATGAAATGTATCCTTTAAGGATTAAGTTAGCTTATCTTCCCTTCTGTCCGAATAGGAATGCAAAACATGTTTTAAGGAATTCACTCTATACATATGTGGTTCCTCTTCCTTTTTGATATCCAATAGGCTTAAATATATTTAATATTTTAGCTACGACAGTTCTTTAAAGTAGCTGTTTCAGTTCAGTTCTCAGAATTGAAAAGTTTCACATAACAGCATTGTTTACTTCCATAACAACTTTAACAACATAGTTTTACTCAAAACAAAACGAGTACCGTAACGGACCAATGAGGTTTAAGGAATGAGGGAGAAGAAGTAAAATTGTAATGATTCAAACTTCAACTAATCAGCTGTTCAGACCAATTTAATTGTTGATTGGTGCAATTAGTGTTTGGTAGGTACAATGTTTGTTGCATCACTGTCGGTGGTGAGGTTAAATAGGGCCTAACCAAAAACATAGGCTAACCTTTCTTAGAAGTTATGAGTAGTGATTTTTAGTAATTAAAACACTGTCATAGGTAAAGTAGTGTACGCAACCCGCGTACATAGTGTTAAAGACACTCGCCAAGGCTCGTACCTTAAATTTTCTACTAGTGTTGTTAACACTATCCCTACGCAATTGTTGTGTTTAAACTACTGTAACACTAGCCTACTATCGTGATGAAGGGATTTTGTTCGCCAACCGATAAATTGTGTTTGTTGAACGTGAAATCACTACCTTTTTCTGGTTGAATACTTAAGAAAAGAGTTCAATTTTGGCAATCCTTCACTAATGAGACGATGTTGAATATAACCGATAGGCGACAATATAACAAAATAACGCTGAAAGGTAAATACCAAAACTCTATTTACTGGTACGATAAAAAAGTAAACTGAAATGTTGAAATTACCTAGTTTGGTCACCTACAGCGACCAGGTCACTAGATAACTTAAATAGTCGCTAAGTGTGGCCGTAGCGTAAAAATTAATCAATTTTTCCACCACGCCTAACTTAGATAGTTTTTTTCTAAGTCCAGTCAGTAAGAGCCTCAGTGTAGTTAAGCTAGCGATTGATTATTGCGCCTCCTTACAAAAGTTTCTTGCGGAGTAAAAAGTTGTTGTGCTTAAAACTCAACCTTTGACAACTCAGTAACACTACCAAAATAAAATGCAGTTAGTGGAACACACACTAACAATGAAACAGAACAAAACATAAACATGAAATGGAATGAAAATTGATAGCCTACTTTAAAGGCGATAAGTTACCAACAGGAAAAAAGTTTCATTATAGAAGCTATATAGGCTACTACTTATACACCAAGATATTTTTTGGGTACCTAACCTAACCCGGTGTGGGTCATGCACACATCTTTAAAGGTTGCAAGTTAGACCAATGGTTTGACTAAAAGAACGATTGATTATGGGCCCATCTCTCTGCAATTAATCAAGAGGGTTAAAGAACCTACAATGTTTCAGACTGTTCATGTTCAGATTGTCCAGCGTTTTTTGTTTACTGATTTCTTGCAAATCTATGTTAAGGTTATGTCATATGTCATATAATGAAGTACGTTAGCCTAGATTTTCTTTGGTTTAAGGTGTATTAAGTTAATTTTGTTTTGCTTGATCACCCAAATCAATGGAAACATTTTATGTTTAGCCTACTTTAAATATAGTACTATGCACTATAAATGTAGGTCTTACATAGGCCCTACAAGCTAGTGAAGGACACTAGGTTATTTAGGCTGGGTGGAATATTGTGTTATTGGGATAGGCTATAACGTAGAGATAAGGACATTTTTGACTCAGTTGACTGGTTAAGTCGTCAAGGGACTAGATTAATACAACTAACTCCTTACTATAACTAACTTTGGTGATAAATAAAAAGGGAACTAGGTCTATTGCATGTTTTGAGGTTACATCTATGAATTCTTAAAGAAATGTTACAAAAGATTACCTCTTGTGTCTGGATTGGTGAGTATAGGTTTGAAATGCTTGACGAGGTCATGATTGGTCACTTTTCCACCTTTTAATAACATAAAATCGCGAACTGCTTCTAATGTCAACTCATTAGAAGACATTTTCACAACACGAAACAAAGTAAATAAATCCAAATCCTACTAAATTTAATTGACTTCACCCAACAGCTGAGTTTAGTAAGCTTAAGCTATCAGTTTCACTCCACAGGTGTAGTGGAGTGAAACAAACTGGATCGATTGAGTTCGTTCGATGTTCCGTAAATCCTTCCTCATTGTCAGAGTGGCTGAAATCATATTAATGCTACAGGTGTTTTAAGCGATTTACCAACCAGGGAATAATAGGATATAAGGTCTAAGGTTTCATGGTAAAACCTAGATCGGGGACCGGTTTACTGTTTCATTTGGAATTCCCCAAAGGCCAAAAACACCATCCGTTCAAGTTCATATATGTGTCCTTTGTATAACATTTGCATCAGCAATATGACACGTACTATTACCATTGACTTTATAGGTACTTACTTACTTGTTTACAGTATTACACTATTACTTAGAACTACATTTTTACATTATTTTGGGCTGTATCATTATGTTTAGAGTTACAAGGACCATAATATACTAAATTTTAATAAAAAAAACAGGCGATCCATTTTAGTTTTATGTTTTATCCAATTGCTCCGTTATTATATGAGTTTTATGGAAAAATTACAAAAATTGCAATCTCTTTCGAACTATATTTTTACAGCAATGGCGGTTGACTTATATCATTTTTTGTTCAGTTAAAAGGACTACCTATAAGGTATAAATTGTGATAAAAATTTGGACAGTTTTTTGTTTTTTTTGCAAAATAAACTTTTTACGGAGAAATCACCATAAATAAAAATTTCAAAAAGATGTATAAAACCCTTGAGATGCCATACATATTGTAGGTACCCAACCCACATAGATACTAAATGTCATCAAGATTTGAGCACAGGTGCCATCTGTGTATATGTGTAAATACACATATACAGAAAAACACACTAACACAGACATCACTTCTATAACCACTTATTTAGATTCAGTGGGACCCAAAACGGATATTTCCACTCAAATCTCAAACTCAATTTTGTTGATGAAAAAAATCCTTTTTTTCATATACTATGTATAAGGGGGGAATTAAGTTAGCCGATTTTGATTAAATGTCATACAAACGTGTTTCAAACCTATGTTTATTCGAACGGGTTCTCGCTCGAAGCAGAATGATATAGGATTACAACACTTGGTTTTAATGGGGTAAAAAAGGAGTTTCTCCATTTTTGACCATCAAAACATAAACTTTTGCAATTGTTTTCCAAACCATTTTCATTTTGTAGACCTTCAAGACCAAATAATTAGGTATATTGAAGCGTTCGTTTTTGCATGCTCGACGATTGAGGAGAACATTCCATTCCAATAGGTTCCTACCTGATAAATTAAAATTGCCATGTTATTCTTATGGAGAGTAAATAAGTAAACAGTTACAGTTTGCTTGTTTATAGATGTATTGGGATCATATTGACAAATAAATTTATTTCGCACTAAGATATTAACATTTTATTAAAACCCCACTGTATAAGTATCCATATGGTATAATCCTAAATACTCATTAGACCTGATGTTATTTAAATAAGGACTAACATGTGACATTGATATTTTAGTGAAAAATCAATCAGGCAAATAATAGTTCGCTAAGTTTGCAGGTTTGCTGCTACAGGGAAGGTAATAAGGTGTGTTTTATGTGTGAAATATTTATAGCTCAGTATAAAATAAACTAATTTGCCAAATTTGATTTTAAAAAATACCATAAACTAGCATAAGATTAGCATTATTATTCTCCTTAAGAATTACGTAGAAATTTTAAATTTACAGTTTGATTTACATTTAAGTCGTAATATACTATTCATTAATTTTAGGAAGGCTTTAGCTTACATTCTGTCATTTATATTATTTTATATTTCTGGTCTTCGCATTTTAGTATTCTTAACTAGCCAAACAAAAGAGGACCTGTACTTTTACATTTTACAATACTATACGGCTACAACAATACCACATTTATTTCGGATATTCACTCAGCCCTGTGAAATTAGTAGTTCATTAAAAGCATGGAAGTAATCGATCAGCTGTAAATGGACTGACTAATGAGTGTGGGAAACAGTTTCTGTGTGGTCAGCTGTTGGGCAGGTGTGCCAACTATTAAACAAAACATCCACAAGTGTAACTCGTTGTTTTTTTATATCATTGTTGTTGAGGCGTTTTATCTTGATTATGATATTAACTGATAATATCATTAATCGAGGTAACAATTAATTAAAAGGTCGCCGGTTCGATCCTGAGAAAAGTCAGTAGCTTTTTGATGGTTCGAAACTGGACCCAACTGTTCCTGATCATTGGGCTTTAAATAAATTATCCTGGCTAATGAAACAGCTAATCTTAGTCAGTAACAAAGCTACACAGATCATCTCACATCATTCTACACTCATCCTTCACTCGTATTTGGGTTAAAATACGCACCTAGGTGGCGTCCCCATCTCAATTATTGATAATTGGTAATTGGTAAACACCAACATAATTAACATTACTTATGTTATTATGGGTACTTAGAGTACCCATATTACGAATAATATTTTTTCGAGGGAGTAAAGAATTTATTAGTAAATACCCCCGCCGCAGCAAACCTGCAGACTAAGCGAATGTCTCATTAGAAATATAACATTTATTCCCTACTAGCTGTTGTACCGGTGATTTGCAACGGGAAGAGGACACAAAATAGAAATTTTTTTGTCTTTACATTTGTTGTTTAAAATAGTTACACCCTGTTGGTAAACCTTATAACTTGTTAATGCCATTTAATACCATAGAACGATAGAACCAACTTGTGTATTTGAAACAGCTGACGAAACTATTTTATTCCTTTTAAATATGATTACTCATAAGGTTAACATGGGAAACTCCAGAGAGTGCGTCTATATGTTAATTGGGAATGTGAGCTATCATCACACCAAATTTCAACCCAATCCGACCAGTATTTTTCGCGTTTACTTGTCACAAACATACATACATCCAAACTTTCTCATTTATAATATTAGTAGGATTTAAATTAAATTAGATTAACGAGTACTTAGGTTTGCTGCAACAGGGAGGGTAAACAGGTGTTAGCGAATTTCCCATATAGGGAATAAGCTATTACCGTAGTACTCATGGTAAGACCTGGACGCGGGACCGATTTTTTTTTTCGTTTTGAGGTCCCTAGAGGCCAAAAACACCATCCGTTCAAATTCATATATATATATATATATATATATATTTATGTGTGTGTGTGTCCGTCAGCACGATAACTCGAGCAAAAATGATCCGATTTTGATGAAATTTGGTACAAACGTGTAAACCTACGTTTATTCGAACGAGTTCGCGATCCAGCATGATCGGATCATGGGAACGGGGGTTTACGGGGGGTTTTATGGGGTAAAAATAGGATTTTCCCATTTTTTACCCAAAAATCATAAAATTTAGCAATTTCTTTCCAAACCATTTTATGAGCTTAAAAAAACAAATAATTTAGTATATTGAAGCGTTATTATGCGACTAATGGTTACGGAGAAAATTCCAAAAAATTGTAAATTTAAAATTCCCATGTTATTCTTATGGAGAATAAGTAAACTGTTGTAGTTTGCTTGTTTATGAACATATTTTGATCAAATTTGGAACATGTTTTTATTTCTTACTAACTATTAACATTTTACAAAAAAAACAGTTTTACCCTCCCTGATGCAGCAAACCTAAGTACTTGTTAAACTAATTCTATTTAAATCGGGAATAAATGTTATATTTTTAAGTAGACATTTCAGTGTAAATCCAATCAGTCAAATGGAAATTCGCTTAGTCTGCAGGTTTGCTGCGGCGGGGTATTTTTTTTTTTAATGTTAATAGTTTAGTATGAAATGAACGCATTTCCCAAATTTGATCAAAATATGATCATATACAAGCAAAATTTCAACAGTTTACTAATTCTCCATAAGAATAACATGGGAATTTTAAATTTACAGTTTTTTGGAATTTTCTCAGTAACCATTAGACTCATAATAACGCTTCAATATACTAAATTATTTGTTTTTTAAGCTCTACAAAACAATTTGGAAAAAAATTCTAAATTTTTAAGTTTTTAGGGTCAAAAATGGGAAAAACCAATTTTTGCCCCATAAGCCCCTGTTCCCATAGTCCGATCATGATGGTTCGCGAACGTTTGTACCAATTTTCATCAAAATCTGATGATTTTTGCTCGAGTTATCGCGCTAACAGACAAATATATAAATATATACAGTAGAACTCCGATTATCCGAATCAATAGGGACCAGACCCCATTCGGATAATCAAAAAATCGGATAGTTGGAGTTTTACCGAAGTTCCGGGAATTTTAAAGAAAATCCTCATTTTTGGTACTAAGTGAACTTTTAATTAATAATAATTTAAATCAGAACATTTTTACAGTTTACAATGCTCATAGTACAAGTGTTCTATACATGTTATTAAGTCAATAGTGTTCCATCAAAGTCCAAAATTGGCTAAATGTGTTCAATAACAATTCTTTGATATTTTGCAAAACTTATTACTGTAGCTTTATGTTTTTAAAATTGTTGAAATAAGCGATTCGGATAATTGGAGATTCGGTTAATTGGAGTTCGGATTATTGGAGTTCTACATATATATATGAATTTGAACGGATGGTGTTTTTGGTCTCTATGGACCTCAAAACGAAAAAATAAATCAGTCCCGGGTCCAGGTCTTACCATGAGTACTACGGTAATAGCTTATTCCCTATAGGGGAAATTCGCTAAATAAAGACACATGTCTTATAAAAAGGTTGTTGGCACAGGAAATATATACACATCAAATATTGAATAATTATGACTACCATTTGAGATTGATGATTAATTTTGATGTAAATTATCTTTCATTATGCGTGTAGTTAATTAACTTCTCAATTTTTTATGTCAATAGTTAAAAAAAGTCACAAATCACAGCACACAAATTATTACAATAATCAATCAGTGTTGTTAATCATCCAGGTTAACAAATGAGAAACAAACCAACGAACGAAGATATGTATGTGCTCTTATAAAACTAACTTACTTTTAAGTAAACCAAATAATTTTTAATGCATTCCATTTATAAATATCCACAAAACAACATAGGTAAAAGTCAGTATATCAGTCATTAACTCGCGTAGAAACTTAAACACGCATAGTTTCACATAAGTTTTATTCAGACAGATTTCTCCGATGACAAATTTAGCACGATCCCAGCAACACAAATCTCACACGAAAGTGCATTTCTCACATTTTCCGTGGTATCGGCGAGTAGGCCGCGACCAGCCTATCTTATCTGGAGACTCGAGCCCTGCAAGGAGCGTTGCTTGTAGCTGTTAAATCAGCCGCCATGTTCAATCAGCACATAAATAGCGGCAACATCCATTCCTTACCTTCAGGGAATGTGGCGGGCATCTTCCATTCATGGTTGACATTGGTTCCCAACTTTTCCTGGGCGTTGCAGCGAAATAGAGTAGTGTTTAATGTGTGAGATGAGTGAGATTGGTCGATAAGTTGGGTATTTTTGTACTTGTACAGGTAAAAAGTTGATTAGTTTTTTTAACAATGATCTCTACTTCACGAGCATCCAACCAACACGTGGAACCTTGAGTTTTTGAAAGGTTCTGTTAAAATTTTTCCAATACCCTTGTACTTTCTTTTTCTGTTGTGAAATTATTTCTATTCTCCAATCTTTAATTCTTTATCCTCCATATTCATGTGGCAGGTTAGGTGTTTGTGTATTGTAGACTTTGGAACATAAACACCACGCAGAGTTGGATGGATATATGCCGCGAGGGACCTGAAGTGACCACCGCGCGGAGTCGGGATAAGCCCTACTGAAACATCCCCTCCCACTTCTTCCAAGAGCCAAAGTGCACAACAAAGGGCATTGTCTCATCGGACAATACGACTATGACAGTAAACAGTGTATCCATGTTGCAGATGGAGTGATAGTGATAACACAGTGGCTAACACCTGCAGCCCGACCGGAAGTCTTCGGGTGATCAACCTGCTACAAAGACATCGCAACGCCATTTCCGGCAGCGTCATTCTCAGCTGAGATTGTGGACATCTGGGTCACGTGACGGACATGACGCATCACGCTGCAAGGTCCGAGATGATAGATAACGTGAGCAAGTGCACGCTGCATCGCACGAGATAATCGTCTAATTTAATACTCTGCCAGTGACACCATGGTTTATGGTGGAGCGGCAATAAAGCTTTGTAAAACAATTTAATTGTGCATGCAAACAATTCTGCGAAGGATGCTCGCGTCGTAAATGAGCGGGGGTTACCCAGGGTTATATTCAAGGATGGTTTATCACATTTGCACCGAGTACTTTGGTGGATGAATGTGAAAATAATGTTTGTCATGTTACCTTGGTCTATTTGAGAAATATTTAAGGGGTATGCTTTTATGAATGGAATGGGGGGTATATAAATTTCACTTTCCAAATTCGTGCTGAAGAAAAAGTCCAATATATAGACATTGGAGATACTGTTTGTATCGAGCTGTTTTTTTTTAACCTGAATAGATAAAGGCACTGGATTAGAACAAGGACTGGGGATAGGGAACCTGTAAAGTAGGACAAACATGTAGGCCTAATAAAGAACAGCCTAATGAAGGTAATTTTTCAAAAGACTGAGCAATTGAAGACCTTCAGATATTCATTCCAGTTGATCTATTTAACTTTTACGTGTCCTTTCGTGACTCCTCAACTCTTGAAAAACTTAAGCTCACCAGCAACAACCAAGGAAATTTTAAAAGAGTATCTGCATGATCAAACACCTTCCCTCAGATGCGTGGGTTTGGTTAAGTTTGATATCCTTCCACAAACGCCTAAGCTATCATCACCAGACTCAAGTCAGGAATGTAAGTTGGACCCGACAATTTATTCTGGCCGCCGACAATAAAGTTCTGACAAAAACCGAGTGTCGGTCCGCACCTAATTATTCACCAAACGGTCTCTCGCTCATTTGTAACAGCTGATTTAGAGACGTCGGTTTAAAAGCCTCGGTTGATGGCGCTGCGGACATGATAATGCGATTAGTATTACGACCCTACCCCGTCATTTCCGACCCGGTTTGTATTGTTCTTTCTATTGTCTTAGGTAGATCAGATCTCCACTAAATTGTCGGTAGACAACTTGTTCATTTAGACCAGTGCTGTTTTGGTAACAGCTATTGAGTTATTCGTAAAAAAATTTCATGGATAACGCTTGCTTGTCTATACTAATCCTACTATTGATACTATTGGAGGTTGATTCTAATCAAGATACATTTTCCTCAAAACATTTTGGACATTCTATTATATTATAGGTACACACTTACCGGTTCTTTTTCGTATAGCAAGAAAGATTTATTAACATCCATCGTATCATAAATTAGGTCTAATAGATCATGACGTACTTATTCATCACAAGTATTTGAAGAGATGTTCATGTACCGGCGATCCATTCGGAATTCAATCGATATACCATTCATCTACTTCTAACATGTAACATGGACCAAACGGAGTGTTTTTATTGGCTGTTATCCCCCAGATACCACCAATGGCCGCTCGCCTCCATATCTGAAACACGGTCTATTATGTTCTCGGCTCACGCGACTTTATGTCATCTAATTATACGAAAACTCGCTCTTATCAATACAAGGCCAGCTATCTGCTCATAAAACGCTACACCTGATATTTCCATTCAGAATCTATTAAGGCTGTTCACTCGGTAACTCGATTTACATAAATATGTAGATGTTCAAACACAGAGGAATGAGGTAGTTTCTCGTCAGATGGAGGTAGTGAGTTTGAGGTAGAGGAACATTGGGGTTGGTAGATGTTGGAACACAGATGAATGAGGTAGTTTCTCGTCTGATGGAGGCAGTGAGTTTGAGGTAGAGGAACATTGCGGTTGGTTTGTAGATGTTGGGACACGGAGGAATGAGGTAGTTTCTCGTTGGATGGAGGCAGTGAGTTTGAGGTAGAGGAACATTGGGGTTGGTAGATGTTGGAACACAGAGGAATGAGGTAGTTTCTCATCAGATGGAGGCAGTGAGTTTGAGGTAGAGGAACATTGCGGTTGGTTTGTAGATGTTGGGACACGGAGGAATGAGGTAGTTTCTCGTTGGATGGAGGCAGTGAGTATGAGGTAGAGGAACATTGAGGTTGGTAGATGTTGGGACACAGAGGAATGAGGTAGTTTCTCGTCAGATGGAGGTAGTGAGTTTGAGGTAGAGGAACATTGCGGTTGGTTTGTAGATGTTGGGACACGGAGGAATGACGTAGTTTCTCGTTGGATGGAGGCAGTGAGTTTGAGGTAGAGGAGGATTGGGGTTGGTAAATGTTGGGACATGGAGGAATGAGGTAGTTTCTTGTTGGATGGAGGCAGTGAGTTTGAGGTAGAGGAACATTGCGGTTGGTTTGTAGATGTTGGGACACGGAGGAATGACGTAGTTTCTCGTTGGATGGAGGCAGTGAGTTTGAGGTAGAGGAGGATTGGGGTTGGTAGATGTTGGGACATGGAGGAATGAGGTAGTTTCTCGTTGGATGGAGGTAGTGAGTTTGAGGTAGAGGAACATTGCGGTTGGTTTGGATGTTGGGACACGGAGGAATGACGTAGTTTCTCGTTGGATGGAGGTAGTGAGTTTGAGGTAGAGGAGGATTGGGGTTGGTAGATGTTGGGACATGGAGGAATGAGGTAGTTTCTCGTTGGATGGAGGTAGTGAGTTTGAGGTAGAGGAACATTGCGGTTGGTTTGTAGATGTTGGGACACGGAGGAATGACGTAGTTTCTCGTTGGATGGAGGCAGTGAGTTTGAGGTAGAGGAGGATTGGGGTTGGTAGATGTTGGGACATGGAGGAATGAGGTAGTTTCTTGTTGGATGGAGGCAGTGAGTTTAAGGTAGAGGAACATTGCGGTTGGTTTGTAGATGTTGGGACACGGAGGAATGACGTAGTTTCTCGTTGGATGGAGGCAGTGAGTTTGAGGTAGAGGAGGATTGGGGTTGGTAGATGTTGGGACATGGAGGAATGAGGTAGTTTCTCGTTGGATGGAGGTAGTGAGTTTGAGGTAGAGGAACATTGCGGTTGGTTTGGATGTTGGGACACGGAGGAATGACGTAGTTTCTCGTTGGATGGAGGTAGTGAGTTTGAGGTAGAGGAGGATTGGGGTTGGTAGATGTTGGGACATGGAGGAATGAGGTAGTTTCTTGTTGGATGGAGGTAGTGAGTTTGAAGTAGAGGAGGATTGGGGTCGGTAGATGTTGGGACACAGAGGAATGAGGTAGTTTCTCGTTGGATGGAGGTAGTGAGTTTGAGGTAGAGGAACATTGAGGTTGGTAGATGTTGGGACACAGAGGAATGAGGTAGTTTCTCGTTGGATGGAGGTAGTGAGTTTGAGGTAGAGGAACATTGGGATCGGTAGATGTTGGGACACGGAGGAATGAGGTAGTTTCTCGTTGGATGGAGGTAGTGAGTTTGAGGTAGAGGAACATTGGGATCGGTAGATGTTGGAACACGGAGGAATGAGGTAGTTTCTTGTTGGATGGAGGTAGTGAGTTTGAGGTAGAGGAACATTTAGGTTGGTAGATGTTGGGACACAGAGGAATGAGGTAGTTTCTTGTTGGATGGAGGTAGTGAGTTTGAAGTAGAGGAGGATTGGGGTCGGTAGATGTTGGGACACAGAGGAATGAGGTAGTTTCTCGTTGGATGGAGGTAGTGAGTTTGAGGTAGAGGAACATTGGGGTTGGTAGATGTTGGGACACAGAGGAATGAGTTAGTTTCTTGTTGGATGGAAGTAGTGAGTTTGAGGTAGAGGAACATTTAGGTTGGTAGATGTTGGGACACAGAGGAATGAGTTAGTTTCTTGTTGGATGGAAGTAGTGAGTTTGAGGTAGAGGAACATTGGGATCGGTAGATGTTGGGACACAGAGGAATGAGGTAGTTTCTCGTTTGATGGAGGTAGTGAGTTTGAGGTAGAGGAACATTGGGATCGGTAGATGTTGGGACACAGAGGAATGAGGTAGTTTCTCGTCAGATGGATTCAGTGAGTATGAGGTAGAGGAACATTGAGGTTGGTAGATGTTGGGACACAAAGGAATGAGTTAGTTTCTCGTCAGATGGATTCAGTGAGTATGAGGTAGAGGAACATTGAGGTTGGTAGATGTTGGGACACAGAGGAATGAGGTAGTTTCTTGTTGGATGGATTCAGTGAGTTTGAGGTAGAGGAACATTGAGGTTGGTAGATGTTGGGACACAGAGGAATGAGGTAGTTTCTCGTCAGATGGATTCAGTGAGTATGAGGTAGAGGAACATTGAGGTTGGTAGATGTTGGGACACAGAGGAATGAGGTAGTTTCTCGTCAGATGGATTCAGTGAGTTTGAGGTAGAGGAACATTGAGGTTGGTAGATGTTGGGACACAGAGGAATGAGGTAGTTTCTCGTCAGATGGATTCAGTGAGTATGAGGTAGAGGAACATTGAGGTTGGTAGATGTTGGGACACAGAGGAATGAGGTAGTTTCTCGTCAGATGGATTCAGTGAGTATGAGGTAGAGGAACATTGAGGTTGGTAGATGTTGGGACACAGAGGAATGAGGTAGTTTCTCGTCAGATGGATTCAGTGAGTATGAGGTAGAGGAACATTGAGGTTGGTAGATGTTGGAACACAGAGGAATGAGGTAGTTTCTCGTCAGATGGATTCAGTGAGTTTGAGGTAGAGGAACATTGGGATCGGTAGATGTTGGGACACAGAGGAATGAGGTAGTTTCTCGTCAGATGGATTCAGTGAGTTTGAGGTAGAGGAACATTGGGATCGGTAGATGTTGGAACACAGAGGAATGAGGTAGTTTCTCGTCAGATGGATTCAGTGAGTTTGAGGTAGAGGAACATTGGGATCGGTAGATGTTGGAACACAGAGGAATGAGGTAGTTTCTCGTCAGATGGATTCAGTGAGTTTGAGGTAGAGGAACATTGGGATCGGTAGATGTTGGGACACAGAGGAATGAGGTAGTTTCTCGTCAGATGGATTCAGTGAGTATGAGGTAGAGGAACATTGAGGTTGGTAGAAGTTTGGGACACAGAGGAATGAGGTAGTTTCTCGTCAGATGGATTCAGTGAGTTTGAGGTAGAGGAACATTGAGGTTGGTAGATGTTGGGACACAGAGGAATGAGGTAGTTTCTCGTCAGATGGATTCAGTGAGTATGAGGTAGAGGAACATTGAGGTTGGTAGATGTTGGGACACAGAGGAATGAGGTAGTTTCTCGTCAGATGGATTCAGTGAGTATGAGGTAGAGGAACATTGAGGTTGGTAGATGTTGGGACACAGAGGAATGAGGTAGTTTCTCGTCAGATGGATTCAGTGAGTATGAGGTAGAGGAACATTGAGGTTGGTAGATGTTGGAACACAGAGGAATGAGGTAGTTTCTCGTCAGATGGATTCAGTGAGTATGAGGTAGAGGAACATTGAGGTTGGTAGATGTTGGAACACAGAGGAATGAGGTAGTTTCTCGTCAGATGGATTCAGTGAGTATGAGGTAGAGGAACATTGAGGTTGGTAGATGTTGGAACACAGAGGAATGAGGTAGTTTCTCGTCAGATGGATTCAGTGAGTATGAGGTAGAGGAACATTGAGGTTGGTAGATGTTGGGACACAAAGGAATGAGTTAGTTTGTCGTTGGATGGAAGTAGTGATTTTGAGGTAGAGGAACTCTTTTTGTGGAGTTTATGTAAAAAGAAGGAGAATTCAATGAATTAGTCAATTAACGAAAGCTCAGTAATGGTTATGGCATTTATCAGAAGATGGTACATGCTATGTTCTCATCCAATAACGACGCTATAAAATCGTATAATTCATTAAGCTACACCGATTGCGGTCTTATCGCCCAACAATACCCTCTCTTCATGTGTTCGTCTTCATAGTTAAGATAGCATTTTTTCTCACGAGTCTTCGTCTCTTGCATCGATGTTTATAGTCTAGTCTTAGGACGGTTCTAGACTAAAGTCTCATAAGGGGCAATGGTTTTTCATAATACAGTGTGTTTTCTCGTTTCTAAACAGTTTTTTATTAATTAAAATTTATTATTTCAATTAATTGAAGCTATATTCAGTGCCACGATTAGATTTGTGTGACCGGGGGCGTAACCGGGGTCGAGTTAAATAATAAAAATACTTTGGTGAGAGGCAAAATAACTTTTAATCATTATTGAAATATCTATTGGGTATGTTAACGAATTGAGTACCACAAAAATAAAAATACAAAGAGTAATGAAATGAGATATAAAATGGATAATAAAATGATTACAGGCTCCTTTCACATAAGTAAGCAAATGAAATTTATATAAAAAGCTATAATAATTATAATTCTTGCTGACACGTTCTAATATCAGTACAGGAATTTAATGGTAACTATTTTTATTCAAATAAATGATAAATGAAATCAATTATGATAAAAAATGATTAGGATTAACATCAATCACTCACTGACTTAAAAACGTTAGCTAATCTGAACAATCCCACAATTTTAAAGTGTGAATATTAATATAGTAGTCGCCTTACCAAAAAAACTGGTGACAGGCGAAGTACCCCCTGGAACAGTCTGGGGCCAAGTCTTCCTTTCGGTCAACTCCAACCTCAGTCCCTCCAAGGTACAATTGCTGAGTCTACGGATTTTATGGGTCGATCGATTGAGTAGGGTACGTGTCATCAAGAATTCTGTATACTAAATGCCAATTTTCTGACACTGTTATATGAATTGTGAAATCCATTTACCAGGTTTTTTGAAATATAGTCCCAAGATTTAGAAAATAATTTTTGGTGACTACTCGTCACATCAGGAAGAACAAACAAAACTAGTGATTTTGTATAACGTGGACGACTTGCTGACATTTCCTCTGTATTAGCTATAGGCCTATATTTACCATATAAAATAACAAAGATTACAGTGTTTAGTATTTTCCTTATATTCAAGGAGCTACGGATAATCTCGTCGGACTAACAGTATTCCTTTTATCATTTTAGTTAATTTGGCATTGTTTAGTTACAAGGTGAAAGCTTAAAACGCCAAACATGTAAACATACATGATCCTAATTTGAGATGTATGTCTACGAGATATGGTAAGCAAATCCTAATTTTCCTATAAGTAAGTGCTCAGGATCTTGAGTGCATTAAAAATAAGCACAAAAATATAATATAACAAATTTAAAAAATGTACACAGGTCTTATGGGTTGCCTTGTTGGAGACGAAATAACAACGAAATATAAACAGAAAATCAAAACTAATGGAATAAATTCTAATCACATGTTTTATTTACAGCGAGGAGTGGAAATAGAGAAATATTTTAGATATTTTTGGTGGAGTTTTCGACCACTACTAAATATAAATTTTTTAAAATTTTGCTGATCCGTCTCCAAAGAAAAACCTTGATTTTTTCAACACCAGTTTCATTGACGTTCTCTTCTAAACGTAAAAAACACATTAATTTGAAGTAAGGGTAGAAGTGAACTAAGAATTAATCCAGTATTGTAAACAGTCCAATTCAAATAACCAATTTAATACACCGAATTGACATTGCATTTGTCTATTTATATTCAAACGTTCCAGGAAATAGTCACCTAATCTATTTGAGGGCGCCACTTAGACCGAATGACCAACTCTAGTAGGGTGGGCGCCATTTGCTGGCTCCGTCCCCCAAATGAATGGGGTCGAATCTACCCTTTCCGACGAATTGAATGGAAATTGGTGTTATCAATTGGAACAGTAAGTGTGTGTATGCAACGGTAATATATGGACTGCTTCCCTGTCGATACTAACTGCAGTGTGGGAGTTAGCTCTGTCAGAGTTGACAACATATTTATACGCTCATAACTGGTAAAGAAAACATAGAACATCTCTGTCGTATATTGTGATTTTAAATTCTACAAGTGAGATATAAGTAGTTTCTGTAGTAAATCAGAGAGGGTTGTCGATAATTTGAATTAATTTTTATGTTTCATATTACCATGTTGAAACTTAATTCTTAAGAACTATTTATTTACATACAGAATGTCACTTCATAATAATATACAGGAAATTTGTCAATGCACTATTCTAAAACTTAAAAAAACTAAAATGTTACATAAGAAAGAAGATTTTAATATTTTACCACCCAATTTCTATTAAAAATACATTTACAGAATTGAATGTTTTGGTCAGAAACCAGATTTTACATTTTTGTTATTTTTTTGATTGGTTATGTTTTTAAATGATCAGCAATTAAGATATACAATTTTTGTCCAATATGAGGCTTCTAATAGTCTATCGTAGTGGGTTTAGTTCTTAGGTCTTGTATTATACACATTTTATAGTATGTGTAGCGACTCTCTGAAATGGACAAGTTGTTGAATACCCAAATACTCCTTCTTAACAGGCCGTAAAATACCAACACTTGAAATGCCTGAAAGATTGTTTTACAAGAACTTCTCGAGGTTCTTGAACTATAATTCTAACCGAATCTTTTTAAATACTAAAACCTTTTTACCATCCCGTGATGTTTTGTAGTTTGGTAATGTGAGGAAGCCAGTCACGATTTTCGTTTAGTAAGTTTCGAACAAAAAATCCCGGTAAAGTTGTAAAATCAGTCTGATTTTAAATCAAATTCAAATAGTTAGTTTTTTTTTTTTTTTTTTTGAAACTAGTAGATAACGTTATTGGAACTATTGGCATACCAGACTTATCGTACCTACAGATACAGGTAAAGTGAAT